TCTGTCCTTGTCTCCCGCTACTTTCCCGGCGGTGCGCGGGAGAGCAGCCGGTCCCGTTTTCAGAAGCGCCCACCGGCTGGCCCGGGCGCGAGCCAAGCCGGCCCCGGAGCCAGCTGGAGTCGAGCCGGGCCGAGCCTAGGGGCCGAGCCGAGCCGGCCGAAAGGCGCAGCGCTTACGCAGCGAGGGGTTTGCAGCCTACGCGTTCGGGCTCTGTAAGAGTTCTTTCCCTATGATTTATCTCATCAAATATTGCTATATTTTGGTCCATTTTCATTTTTTTAACATCCCATCTCTATTTTGCAAATTAATGTTCTTGCTTTTCCATTACACTATTTTGTTTTACCCGGCTATATTATTCGCTCAGTTTTGTTTACCACATCTTTTTTATCTAGCATTTCCCAAATCGGTCGGCTGACGGCATACGAAAAAAGTTCGAAAGACTCGCCACCAACGAAAAGCATTTAAAGGCCTTAGGATATAAGGAGGAGGACGTTCAGCTGATAAGAAGGTGTGTTAAACTTTCTCTTCTTCCATGTAGCGTTATTTTGCACAAATGCTTTTAATTGTGGTGCTAATTTATTTTAAAATTTTATTTGCAGCCTTGTTAAGAAGTCCACGACAGCAGATGGAGATGGAGATTCGGGAGCAGAGGTAAATATCTTACTTTGATACTTACATACACATTAAAGTGCAAGTAAAGTGTTGCAGTTGGTTGGTATTTTTTTCTGTTTGCTGCATTCTGATATTAATTTCTGTTACCCAGGAACGCGCTGATGTGGAACGGCTAGTCATAATGAATGCTGAAGGTTCTCAAATAGTTAAAAAAATTTACTACCAAAATAAAAGTTTGAAGCAAGAGTTGGAGGTGGTAAGGGGAAGGTGTGCAGAGGCGGAGAGGGTGAGAGGGAGGCGGCAGAGAAAAGGTGTAAACAGGCGATGGAGCAGAGAAATGAATCGAGGAAGCGGAGAAAGGAGGCAGAAGAGAGGGAACGAGAGGAGGTGGTGGAGCAGGCGAAACGAGCAAGCAGATATAAGAAAAAGGCCGAGGAGATGGAGGAGCAAGTGAAGTTATTGATTATGGAAAAAGAAAAGAAGAAAGAAGAGGAAAGGAAATTGAAGAGGGTAATAGAGGAGAAGAACGAAGAGGAAAGGAAATGGCAGAAGGAAAGAGAGAGGAAGAAGAAAGAGCTCCAACTAGCACCAGAATAATTTTTGACGACCCATAACTTTCACTTTTATGCCAAATTGTTCAACGTCACGTTATATAACGAACGCATGACGCTAATGTGCTACATGATAATTTAAATTACTAACGTTAATGCGTTAAGTTACGGACCCCTGTATTTTAAGAGAAAAGGGAAAACTTTGAGGAACTCCCTTGATTGAAGAGAAAATCCTTGGATTTCGAGCAAGTCTCCTCATTTTTGGAGGAGATTACTCATAATCTGAGGCGAGATGAGGGGAGTTTACCTCAAATTAAGGAGTTCCTCGAAGTTTTCCGTTTTCCCTCAAAAAATGAGCCATCGTTTTTACTGTGTCCCTAGTGCGAGAAATAGTCTGTGTTATGCCTTAAATGCTATTTCCCGAGCGATTTGTCGTGTCACATACCCTTTTGTTCCTTCGTGTATTTCTGTTAATTGCTGCAATTTTCACAAAGCTACGGTTATTTATCGATGTTCTACATAAACTCATGTTATTGAACGACTTCAAGTGCCTGTAATTTCTCTCGCTGATCATTGTCTTTAAATTCTTTTAACATCAAAGTGCCCTTTCGCAACCAACCTGGGGTTATTCTTTACATACAGGTATCTATTAAACTCGCACTTTCCTTTAAAGGCTATTGTTAAGTGAAAATGCAATCTACTAAACCAAACCTTTAACTTTATAACAAGCAGGCCCGCCCTTCCGCCAAATGAAGTTGCCAGCTTCGTTTCGCTGCGCCGGTAATTCCGCCCCATACAAGTATAGGAATTTTCCTATACACTGGTTTGGTTGTTTTCCTATACATGTATAGGAATTTTCCTATACACCGGATGCATATTAAAATAGGAAAAGTTTTTCTCTCCCCTTTTCCGCGGTTTTCTACCTCTCTTTCCCTCCCTCCCGTTCTTCCTTTCACTTTTCGGTTATTTCAAGTAAGTAAGCATTGGAAAAATGATGATAGGGTCGGCTTGAGCTTGCTCAGGGCTCAGATACAGTCTGAAAAGTCTGAAAATTGCAATTTTTTCGTTACCGGCAGACAGTCACGGACGGATAAAATCTGAACCATAGCACCTACAGCTCGCGTAGACACATAATCTTTTTCAGCACAAAAAGACGATCGTGGAGATAGCACTACAGTGG